GCACCAAACTCTTGGTTCCCTGCAAACATGAAGGAGCTGGCTGAACGTGTCATGGGGGCAGACAGAGCTACCCAGCCCCTTTCAGCAAAGGGAAGACACAATAATCCACCTTCCCAGACCTCTCGGAGACTGGAATGCAGGTCCCAAGCTCACTGCAAAGTTGCCACAGGCCCTGGCTCTTGGTCCCTACAAGGGAGACCCAGGGCTGCCCTGGGAGAGACCAAACCACTACCCCTGGGGACTTTGCCTACCTGCACCCAGATCACCAATGACATTGCTGCCACAGGGAGCAAGTGGATGGGTAGGAGCACACTTCATTTCAAGAGAAAATGTGGAACAACCAGGTTCCAGCACATGTGCAGGAGAAAATAATTGCGCCTGGTCTGCATCTAATCATTTGCCCACGTTGGGGTATTTTCCAGGCACCTGGGTGACTAGGCTGCCTGCTTCAATATTTTCATCACAAACACAATGCTGGAAAGCGTCCAAGTTTCCATTATAATGACACCCTGCTTCTGCTTCTGAGGATCTGCCAACCTCACTTTCTTCTGAGACCCAAAAGGCCTGGACCGGGACGGCTTCTAGAAATGTAATACGGGTGTCGGGGAGAGCACCTGCCCCAGCAAGGGGGCCCCGGCAAGCCTGCTCAGGCCTCTTTTAAGCTTAGAGCGGGGCTCAAGATGTTAACACTGAAAAGCAAGCTACCCCAGCACGTTTCCGGCGACACCCGCCCGACCTGCCCCCTGCTTCATTGTGACAAGTGGGAACACAACCGAACGGACCCGCAGCCTGCCCACGGTGTGAGCTCAAAGGGTCGGAAAGCAGCTGTTTATCCGGCCCGTCCTCACACACATGAAGAAACAGCCCCAGGAGGGGAAGCAACCTGCCAAAGAAAACCCAAATAGGATCTAGCTGTCCCGGGGCTCCTGGCCTTGCGAGGCGTCAGAGAAGCCCTCTGAGGTAGAATTTGCTAGAAATCATGCCCCGCCCCCCAGAATGAGACGGATCTACCGTCTTCATGCAGAGCTGTACGTGCAACTTGAGGGAGACGGACACACTCTCTGTGCCTGGTTATGAGCTCTAGAGCTTGAGAATGCCCCAGGAGCCGACGTCTCTGAGTGCCTCCTGCGTGCTGGGCGCTGCTCCAAGCACCTGGCAGGTGTCAGCGTATGCACAGGATGGCAGCCATCAAGCCAGGGCATGAAGGCCAAGCTCAGAGCCGCTACCCAGGTCCTGCCACGCTCTCAGCAGCGTTACGTAACCGACTTGTGTAAGCACTGCCTTGCCCCGTAACTGGGTGCTGCCTTGGGGCTGAGTGCTACCTCTCCGCCCTGCACCTGGCCCGGGGCCCACACCTGAGGTCATGCTTCCAGGCTGCACATCGCTGTCACGGATGAAAGCGACGAGGCTCGAGGTTCCCTCGCGTCCCCTTTGAAACAAGCCGAGACCGAGAACGTGCTTTCCACAGCCACCTCCCCGTAACTTAACCGCTTACTGATTCACACCCGCCTTCCCCTTCTGGGGAAGCCACAATTGTTCTTCTCCACCCCCTCTCCTTTCCCTCCTTCCTCACTATCATTTTTTCATCCTTCCTCCCATACAACTGGATGCCTGAAAACTTGGTCTGTGTGATCTCCGACAGCCTCCCCGCCCTCTAATTGAGACAAAGGGGGACACCTGCCTGACCTGCCTGGCACAGGGCCAGCTGGGAACCAGTAGGGACCCAGCAAATGACAGATGTCGTGACCAAATGTCTCCCTCCCCAACCCCCATAGGTTAAAAAAAGAAAAAAATCTGTATTGGCCCAAATCAACACAAAACCTTTACTCTTCTTCCCAGCTTTCTAGATGGGATACACTAACTAGGTAATAGGCACCTTTAGGCTTTGTTTCATGCTGTGAAAACACGGGTCATCTTCTCCCCAGACCCTACTGTAAAGGAAGGAAATCAGACCTTAGCACTTGAGAACAATAAAGAAATACACCGTGCACGTCAAAACATTCCGTCTCCCAAACACCTAGCTGGCTAAGTGAGAACACAATCCCCTGCTTCACATGACAGAGCAAAATACTCATGGAAGTCAGCGAACATCACTCCTGAGCCTCCCAGCACACAGACCAGAAGGGAGGACCAGTGGCATTATTCTCAACAATGACTGAAAGCATCACTTCTAAATGACACACGGCTGAAGAGGCGCCCGCTGCTCACGTAAGTGACACTCCCGTACCAGCTGCTACTTATAAACACAGTTTCCACTTAGAGAATTTAAGAAAATTCCTCTCTCCGACACATGGTTGCAAACGGCATCTTTGCCACCCTGGACCTACCGAGGCCCCAGCAGCAACGGGTCGGGGTCCAAACAAGAGGGCAGGAAAAGTGAGAGCTGCCTACAAGGACTGTACGTGCCCCTGGGAGCCTCCGAGAGGCTCCAGCACAGCAGGTGGGATAAGAGGGCAGGCCCCAGCCGCTGCGGATCAGCGACCCAGGCGGACTTTCTACTTGCAGGCTGTGTGACCTTGGGCAAGTCACCCAACTACTCTGAGCCTCAATTTCCACATCTGTTAAGAGAAGACTTGTCCCCAACAACCCACCCCCTCCAGCACTTGACAAGCATCTGACACGCTGGTACAGGCATTTCTGTCTGCTCCCCTCTTGCAAGGGCTGGGACTAGGCCTGTCTTATCACTGTACCATCCCCAGATGCTCCACCATAGGATCTGTTTGGTCAGTGAAATTATACGAGAAGTTGGAGCACAGGGTCTCCTTCCACGTGAATGGAATTCATCAAGTAGCTACTGACTGAGTGCACGACCCACAAGCACGGGAAGGAGCCTGGCACGTGGCTGCAGGCATGTGGGCACCCGCCAATTCTTAGTCCCTGAGCCCTTGGGGGTGTGAGCCATGTGTCCTATCATGTGTCCCATTGCCCTGACCACGGGACACTCCTCCCATTAATACAGACACAGGGTCAGATGTCGAGCTTCAAGCCTCCTGGCACTGCACCCCGCAAACCTTTTACTCCACTTCTAGGATTGGAGCCCACACTTGAATATCCATGCTTGAGAATTCTCTTGAAAATTTACAAGACCTGCAAGTCCGTTTTTCTCTGACGGGCTGAGCCTGAGTCAAAGTTGCCCCTTGTATGTGGGGCATGGGTTCACCTATTCAGGATGCCTCCATAATTTCCCTCCCCTCCCTCTCTCCCACTACCCTTGCAAGGGCAATTTCTGGCTGGGCCCTAGATGGCCTTGGACAGCCACAGTCTAATCACAACTCAGTACTAATCTAAAGCTTCTGACAGCGCAGGTTCAAAGGGCCTGGGGTTCCCGTGGCCCAGCTGGTTAACTTAGAGTAATTTTAATGCTCTTCTCCCAACACCAAATAATCACAATTCACTTCCCAACCTCTCCTGAAAACACTGCCTCTTCCAGGTGCAGAGATTAATCTTCTCTCTTTCTGGCATTGGAAAACCAAAAGCCTCTCTTCTCCTGGCCAGGGCCAGCAGCAACAGAGGAGAGAAGGGTACAGAAAGCAGCCCAGAAAGACGCCACAGTGACAGTGCTGGGATCCCCGGCCAAGACCGCGGTTCAGGCGTCACAAGCTCTAGTTATCAAAGAAAAGCAAGGCCTAGGTGTAACCCATTCTGGACAGACCTGCTCCCCTTATCCACCACCCCCCATCCTGGATGAATTAATGCTGCTTGCTTCAGCCACAAGCCAGCTCACTGCAGTCATGCAATGATCTGAAAAGACAGACAGTGTTGAATTTCCTTCCCAGGGCCCTTAGAGAAGGTTCTCCTGGGGAGCTAGAACTTGAAGGGAAGGCCAGACCTGCAGCTCCACTTCTGGCTCGAATACACACAGAGAAGGAGACCAGGAAGAAGCAAGAAGAACATTTTCCTGCCAGTCTTCCACGAGTATTGTAGAGAAAAACTTACTTGATAAAACAACAACAACAACTACCTAATAAAAAGATATTTTTACTCACATGGTATTTTAAGCAAGATCATCTATGGTACACATTTAGGTACCAATTAAAACATCCTGATTCAACACACAGTTTGTAAAATTAATAAGTACCATGTTCTGTAAGGGAGGATTCCTGATTCTGCAAGGGGTGGGGGGCAGGAAGGCTCGGATGGAGAGCCATGTGGGAAGGTCCTAGAGGAACTTCGGGCCAATCTCCAGACCTCAGTTTTCTCCCGGGCCCCGCAGGGGATGCAGATGCCCTCAAGGTGGCTTTCTGCTCCGTTGCTGGGTGGCTGCCCTCACAGCAACCGCAGCTGATAAAGAAAGAGGGGCTGGGGGCACGACGGAGGAGCCTAGAACCACAGCACCCCCTGCTCAATTTCACTGAGGCGCGCCAAATGCCTTCGCGGGGCGTCCTGGGGCTTCCTGGGGCTTCATTTGCCAAACTCTGTGCCCTTAGCTCACCCAGGGTACGCCGGGAACGGGAAAATGCCCCCTGCCCCACAGGAGCCAGCCTCAGCCCCAGCCTTGCTGCCTGCTTCTCGAACCTCCCTCCGCGACGTCCAGCCGCCAACGGCCGGCAACCGAGCCCGGCCTTCAGTGTCTCCGCGGCGACTGTCTCCCTCCCTCCAGCCGAGAGGGCCGAGCCAGGGCGCCGGGCGGGCGGGCAACGTGGGCACCAGGGCCGCGACGGGGCGGCCCAGCAGCCGCGCCCAGGACCCAGGCGGCTCCGAATCCTAAACACACACGCACACGCGCGCGCGCGCGCTGGCCAATCCATTCGCCCGGCGGAGTCGGAAGGCGCTTTCACAGCTCTTCATTCATTACCCAAAGGCGAGGTTTCCTTCACCCGGATGCCTCCATCCCGCCATCCCCGGGGACTCCAAGAGGCTCAATTGCGCCACGCGTCCTCGCCTCCCGCACACACATCCCGACCCCCTTGCGCTCCCGCACGATCGCCAGCGTCGCCCCCGCACCGGGGCCGCTGCCTCCCCGGCTCCCCGCAGCCGCCGCCGCGCCGCGCCGCTCAGACCTGCCGCGCTCCGCTCGTCGCGCCCAGCCGGCGGGGGACGCCACCGCCGAGAAGCGCCTGCAACTCCCGAGTCCCGCCGCCTCCGGAGCCACGGCCCGCAGCTGGGCGGGAGCAGGGGCGGAGGGCCGAGGGGAAGGAGGAGGGGGCGGGGAGCAAAAGTTCAGGCCGCTCTGGGCCCGGCCGCGCCCCCGTCTCCTCCCACGCCCGCCCCCGCGGTGTCCCCTCCCGGAACCGGGTCCCATAGGCGTCGGTGCCTGCCCCCGCCGCCCCCACCCCGGCTCCGCCACCCAACGCGGTCGCGGGACTGGAGCGGGAGGTCGGCAGGCGGCTCCCAGCCGGAGTCGGGGAGACAGAAGCGGATGCCCGCTTACCTGCCCGGGGCTACGCCTGGAAACTTCCCCGAAGTGCGCGGGGGAGCGAAGCATCTGGCTGGGGGAATTCCCGACCCCCCTTACCTCCCCCACAGCGCGCGCTCACAAGGTGAAAGCACTGGTGTGTCTGTCCGTCCGTCCTCCGCCTGCAGCTTCCAGAGCCGGGCGGCGTGGGGACGCCCTGATTCCGACTCCTGGGGCTGTTCCTCTGGGCAGCCGGCCCGCGCGTGCCCCGCGGCGTGCGCCCCCCCCGCCGGCGTCCGGCTGTCCGCAGCGCCACCACCCCTTCTCCTGGTCCCCTGTCCCCGCGCTCCGGCTGCATTCTCTCGAGCCAGAGAGGGGGCATTCGAGCCCCGGCGCCGCCGCCGGGCATCCCTTTCTGCGGGGTCCCCGGCGCACCGGGCGCCGGGAGGCGGTCGGGACCCGCGGCGAGGGGCCGCCCCCGCTGCTGACCGCGGGGGGGCCTCGGGGAGGCTGGGCGGAGGGACGCGGGGCTCAAACCTGCCTCGGCTCGGCGCGCTCGCAAGTTCATTGTCTGCCTGGGCCGCCGCCGCCGCCTCCGCGCCGGGAGCGCCGCGGGGAGTGAGGCTGCGCGCAGCCTCCGCCGGCCCGGACTCCCTACGCCCAGCCCCGCCGCCGCCCGCGCTGCCCGGCCGGAACGCGGAGGGGCGCCGGAGCCCGGATCCAGACCTCCACCCGCCGCTCCTCGCCGCCCCCACCCCGGCGCCTGGCACCCAACTTGTACCTGAGAAGCCTGGGTCCAACCCCAGAGCCTCTGCGGCTCCGGCTCCACGGGAGCGCGCCCAGCCCCGCGCCTCGAGCCCCGCATCCAGGGCGCGTCAACCTGACTCCCCGAGCGCAGGGAGGAAAAGTTTGGGAGTGACGTGCAGATGGCGAATGAAACCTCCGAAGAGAACCCTCCCCCCGCCCCATGTCGCGCTGACACACATCGGCTCGAGTCTGGAATGTGAGATCAAGGCGTGTGCGCCGCGCGGTGGGTTTGGTCCCCGCCCCCTCCCCTTCCGAGTAAACAAGGTTTGCGCGATGCAGTGATTCTAAATAGGAAGCAAACCGAAACCCCTAAAGTCCGCCAGTGACTCTCTGCCAGAGACATTTTTAGCGAACTTGGCGGTCTGCAGCCAGCCCATACATTGATATGCAAGGCCACGGCGCTGGTGGGTTCTGCGCCCTCTGTTGTGTTTTTGCCGCCCGCGAAGGCTCTGCCGGGCTCTTTGGCCCAGCCTGTTTGCTTCTGCGGGGGGGTGGGGGCGGCGGTTCCGCCGGACCCGGAGCCCTGCCGCAGTGGCCCGGAGGCGCCCGCTCCAGAAAACCACCTGGGCTGTCCGGGGCTAAGGAAATGGCACCAGTGGTCCACTCCCTGCCGCTTGACCAAAGATACCATCAGTTAAAGAAAAGACACTGGATTTTGGAAAACTCAGCTCAAGGGGCGCTTGGAGCACCAAGCCCAGCCTCTCAGGAAACGGGTCCAAGGGACAGAAAAAAAAAAAAAAATCTTTGTCTTCAATCACACAGCCTTTTGCCTGCCCATGTCCCCATGGCCACGGTCCAGCATCCTCGCGCTTAGAGCAGCCAGAAGTGAAGCTGAAAGTGTTTCCTAAGTGCTGCAGAGTGGTGGCCCTCTGCCGAGGGGGCTTCCTGAGCCTGCCTTTCCCCACTTTCCTCTGATTCTGAAAATCTGATCTATATTGCCCGGGGCTTCATCTCACTCCCCAGAAACCATAGCGTGCCCTGAGGTTGTAAACTTGCGCTCAGCATCCATGGCAACTAATGCGGAGGTCACAATCAGAGGATTATAACTGCAGATGCGAAGCTGGATGAGAAGGGAGTTCTTCAAAACTGTGTCTTGTTTTCTTGCAAAATAAATGCCCCTTACATAAAATCTACGAAGAAAGATTGATGCAAGAGACCAGCCTCTGAATATCCGAGGGCATTGGTTTCTCCATATAGACTCCGCTTGATGACTTGTGTTCGTTATTATTTTTTTAAACAAAAACCTTTTTCTGAAAATACAATGAGGTGCTTTTTGCAGGGTTCACAATTCCCAATAGATGATGATGCCATTTTTCAAGGTCTTATACACGTTGTGGCTTTGGGCTTATTTATTAGCTCCCAAGAAAAGCCTGCCTTTCAGTGAAGTTTATATACTCAAGTAATTGCATCGGGGGACACAGTGCAGGGTGCTGTTAAAGAGGGTTAGTTGTACAGGGAGGCCCTGGGCCAGGCAGCTGTCAGACCAGAGTGTGCAGTGGGTTTAAACAAACACAGGGAAGGTTCTATGGAAACACGGAGGAGGAAATCCCCTCCTGTAAGGCTGTGTGGAACATTATTCCATGGCCACACATACCTCAATCCTTCCTCTCCTCCCTCCAACTAAACACATGACCCCGTTATGGAGATGGCGCTGGGCCCACCCGGATCACCTTCAAATTCAGGTGTCAGAAATCACGGTTGACACGGAGCAAATTGTTTTTAAATAAAATCACGGTACCGCTTTGATACGCATTCCACCAGGGACTTTCCAAAGGTATTTATACACGTGCCTGAGATTAACTGGAGGGCAATTTTCGCCCTTAACATTAATTTCACAAAATTACCCAAGAATTGCACGTTGCCTGTTATTCTGGAGGGTTGAGAGAGCACCCAAATGCCAGACGTGTGTGAATGAGCGGATGGATAGACAGCGGATGTGTGAGAGAGGTTGGTGCCAACATGACACCGGCAGCTAATGGGTGGAAAAATGAAGATCATTTTAGAAAACAAATATCCCCTCCCTCATGTGCACACCCCTCCATAATTCAGGAGTTAAATTGCCCTGGTTCAAACCATACCTTGACACTAGCTGAGTGCATGTCCCTTTCAGTGCCGGCGTTGGGGCTGATGATAGCACCTACTAGTGGTCAGTCACATAACTGATCCCGTGGGGGTATTAACACTTCTATCCCCTTGTCACAGTCTCAAAGAACATGCAGTGTATTTCCCCATTCCTTGATTTTGGGCTCGGCCATATGACTTGCTGTAGTCAGTGAGATTTTAGAGAATGTTACTGAGTAAGGGGATTGAAACATGTTAAGGGGCTGGGCTTGCTGTCTTGTGCTCTGGACAGCCGGACACCAAATGGCCTCCGCCAACCTACACACACACGAGCAAGGGCAGGGACACACTCATTGTAAGCTGCTGAATGCCAGAGGATGTTACGCGGCCTTACCACGACAGTAGCTGACTGACACACTCCCTCGGTAGGCATGTAGGAAGATTCATGACAAAATGTTTGAAAAACACTAAGCACAATTCTTGGGATGTCGTAAGAGCTCCAAAATATTCACTGTGATTAGAAATCTACATTATTGTGATACAGTTTTGTATCACAATTTTGTGCGTAAGAATCACATAGTAATTGTTTTAACTGATAAACTGAATCAGTGAATAAGTATTTCTAAAATAAAGACTCTCTCTGCATGTACAAGACAACCCAGAGGCATCAGGAACTGGAAGGCCATGGTCACCTGTCACGGTGACCAAGTCACATTCGTTCATTCCCTCACTCATTCAGTGGCCGTCCCGCAAACACCTGCTCTGTGCCACACACCGGAGTGAATGTTGGAGCCACTGAGTCTCCATCCCCTCCTCGGGGTGGGGACCTACGGAGCCCCACCGTGTGAAAACACTCGGCTCAGCATGCTCCCAGGCCCTATCACGTGACCCTCACAACGGCCTCGTGAGCCAATATCACCTCTCCTCTTTCCTCAGGCAAGGAGACAGAGGATCAGAAACCAAACAACATGGGAAAAGGACCACAGTCTCCTCCTCTACCATTAGTGTGAGCTAATGCCGAGGAATTCAAGTTACTGAAAGGCACGTCCGATGGGAAAGTGAAGTGAGAACCAAGCGGAGGGGGAACACAGCTTGGGTCACTCTCTGCGCCAGGGATGTGCTAAGTGAGCACTTGGGAAATACTGAGGCTCAGAAGACCCAGCTTCTGCTCCTGCCACCGGCTGTCCGTGAGATCTGGAGCCCTTCTCTGGCCTTCAGTGTCTCCAGCTGGAGGGGGAAAGACCTTGAAAGCTGCAGCCTGGTATTTTCCAGAACTATGGATTCAAGAGGAACTGCTGTAGGAAGTCCCTTGTCCGGGGATGGAGGGATGCGAATCACAGTTCTGGGAACTGGCCCAGTAATTTGAAAGTGGGGACAGCGGGCCACTCGGGAGGAAAGGAGACAAGGCCAGGCCTTGAGCCCCGCTCATTCTAGGCTAACAACAACAGCAAGCTGGCCACTGGTCATCCCACTGTCAGAGCACTGAGACTGGAACATGTGGGGTCTCCCCAGTGCCTCCTACTAGGATACAAAAGTTCCTGAAAGAAAACCCATGCCAGATGCCTAAAGCCCTAGATACCAGCTAATGCCTTCATTTTCAATTAGCACTTGAGCAGAGATGGGGATGAAGTTTCAATTCAATTTCACCTTGTTCCCACATTTGAGGTGGTTTCCAAGGGTACTGACGGTATGGGCGTGGAGGGCTGCTGGGAGTTGCCTGTGAGGGGAGGGGCTGCACCTGGGTGCGAGGGACCCAGGGGGACCAGTGCACAGGCCCTTCAAATGTGTTTCAGTGGACCTGGCTTCGGATCTCTGCCACCAGCCACGACCTGCCTCTAGCCCCGTGACTTTGACAAATTTAGACTGCTCGGTAACC